GCTACTAAAATTATTTAGTGGTTTTATGTTGTACTAGAACACTTCAAGCTTTTACTATAGAAAATGTTGCAGTGACAACTTCTGGTTACTTGAGGACCTATGCAGGAAGATCTTGGGATGAAGTAGAAAGGAATTCATTCTATGGCCATAGGGATTCTTGTTCCTTTTCAGCTTTGTTATCTTTTTAACTTTCCCTACGTAGAATCAAGCTTAGCATCTTTTCTTTCCCTGTGCTGTTAAAGGAAAGGAGATGGGGAGATATAAAAAGCTCTAACTTTCTAACATGAAAAATAACAGTTAAGCATTCATTGAGCATTCTCTGTGCAGTAGGCATTTTAAAAAGTGCTTTCTTTTTCTGTATTATCTCATTTAATCTTTATAAAATTCACTGTAACTATGAGAGACTAAAGCACACAGAAGCTAATTTGCCCATGGTCACACAGCATGTTAAATGATGAAATCCTAATGCATACCAAGACAGACTACCTTATAATGTAGGGTGCGATATGCATTTGCTCTTCATTTAATTGTCACAACAACCTAATGAGGCAAATAATTATTTCCCCTCATCTTACATTTAAGTAAATTGATTCTTAGTGAGATTAAGTAGCTTAAAACGACCAAATCAATTAGCCTTCAGCTAAGTTAGGCTGGTACTCTATCTTCTGTTTGACTCCTCTGAGCTGGAATACTTGGAGGGAGCTCCAACTCTTCTGTTTTGGACAGTCCCGGTATGGTAATTTCTTTAGCATTTTTTTTTTTTTTTTTGAGGCAGTCTTGCTCTGTTACCCTGGCTAGAGTGCAATGGTGTTATCATAGCTCACAGCAATCTCAAACTCCTGAGCTCAAGGTCCTCTCACCTCAGCCTCCCAAGCAGCTGGCACTATAGGCACATACCATGCTAATTTTTCCCATTGCACCCAGCCAATAATTAATTTTAATACTGCTCTCTATTTGGGTCTGTAGCACCTTCGCTCTTTTTCTCAGTTGGCTTTTTAAATATATTATACCCAGCTTACAGTACTTTAAAAGAGAGCTTTTTAATTAATACTCAATTGAATGAAATGCAGAATTTAAAAAAGACTGTATGACCTAAGAGAATTCAACGTTAATTCTATTTTAAAATCCATGCACACATTTATACATTGCCTGCTCTTTCCTGGAGAAATTTATTTGGCAACCACAGAGATGAACAGGAATCATCGCAGGTGGGCAAGGTAATCGGTTTTTTATTGCAAATTATCTGAATATTCATTTTAAGAAAACCATATGAAATCATAGATGGAACATATGCAGTAACCTCCCCCTCTAGTTAACAGACTTTATCTTACACTTAGTCAAATCATTTTTACCACACCTGATTCTGATTATATACATACAGATATACTTACAACAGAGAATATATAATTAAATGTAAATTACATAAAGCTAAATATAAGTGCAAATAAAGAAAAGGGAGGGATTATGTGGAATAAACAGATGAATGTGCTTGGCCCAGAGCTGGTGTTCAAAAAACGCTTGATATTATTGAAAGCCTTTATATGCAAGCAGAAGAATTTGGACCTGGTGAGGTAGGCAGTAGGAACAATAGCAAAGCCTATCATGTGATTTTTAATAATGCTAGGCTAACTACTACATTATCAAGCTATATTAAAAAAAATTCACCAACTTAATCAAAATTTACTGAGCACCATCCTACGTGATGAGTAACTGACAATAAGACATGGTCTTCTACAAGTTCTGGAGGAAGAAAGCCCAGGAGGATCAGACTCAATCCACAATAAAAAGTGAAAAGTGACATGAGAATTATCTATTAAGGGCTATCAGAGTACACAATAATTACAATAATTACTTCTCTGAAAATCAGAGAAGACAGTTCCAAAGATGGAACCATGTGAGCTCTCCTAGCAGGAGACCAGAAAGTCTGTTGAAGTTATACATGCGTGAAATACTGACTAGGATGATGGAAGCGGAAATTGAAGAAGGACATTTTGAAGGCTATGTCAAGTTTGTCTCTGCTGATAACGAAAGAGATCCTAAACTATTTTCTCCCATCACTATTTTACCAACTCTATATTGACACTCAAATCCTTTCTGAACTTTTCAGCTATGTTTCAAGGTCATGGGAAAAAACACCACAAGAAACCACATTCTATAAATCAAACCCAGCTGAAATTTTAAAATAATGACTATTTCCTCTAGCTGGGGCTTAGCAAATCTTTTTTCCTGTTTTTTGTTTTATTTATTTGCATTTAGGCTTCTGAATTAGGTAGTTCTGCTATCTCAAGTCACGACAGTATTGACACACTTTGCTTGCCTTACACAATACATGTGAACAGCTATGTCGTGTGGCATTAAGTACAAGGGGAGCCCTTACCGTGAAACAGGAACATGTTCAAGTACAGCTTTAGAAGAAGAGCTAACGCTGTGAAACTCCTGTTTTCATAGACCACCACCAAGAAGAAAACTCCTTTCCGTCTCAGTCACTCAGATTATATTTTCTCTAAAGGATATTTTCTCTTAAGGATAAAACATTTAGCATGGCAATACACTTACTTATTAAACCAAAAACTTTATCTCTGTAATGTTGTTAGAACTGGAATGGAACACCTTGAGGAAACCCTAGTTCACAGTAAGCAAAAAAGTACAGGTACAAGTTAGTTCAGTGCTTAAGTGTGTTGTTCAAAGATTCATCTAAAGTGGAAGGGACAATTTTATTTTATTTATTTATTTTTTTAGAGACAGAGTCTCA